AAAAAAATAATAATATTTGGACATATACAAAAGTTGTGAAATGTGCTAAAATCTTTATTGTTATAATCAGACTTCATCAGTTTTAATGAGGCATATAGGTTAGTAGTCGCATTTGATCAACATTGTAACTGCTTCTGTTGTCTACCTAAATTTATGAATCATATTGATGTTTTTTTCGTAGATTTTAATTAAACATGACTTCTATACTGCCCGTCGCGTTGACTCCGATCGGTGTTCGTGGTATGAAAGTTCTTAACCGTCAGAAATTCTTGCGTAATGTAGTGGTGCCAATACTTAAAGTGTGCGATGAGAAATTGTCGAAAGTTACCCCAATATGCAAGAATTATCTTTTAAAACTTGAAAACTTCAAACCTATACAAACATTTAATGATGCTGATGAAAATGCAAACAAGGTAATCCATTTAAATCCAGAAAAAATCATACAATGGACTGACATTGCAGATGATGACCGTAAATGCCTAGTTAAATGCGGTGTTACAGAGAAGAACTTTGACTCAAAAGAAATACAACTCACATATGACAATTTTAAATTTGATCAGGTTTTTAAAGCAGTTTTACCAGAAAATGAAGAAATTGTAAGTGGGTTTTCCCAAATAGGGCACATTATTCATTTAAATCTGCGGGATCACCTCTCAGACTATAGACCGCTAATTGGCGAAGTATTAGTTGACAAAATCAAAACTTGTCGTACTGTGGTGAATAAAAATAATGCCATTGATAACACATACAGGAACTTTAGTATGGAAGTTATTGCAGGTGATGAAGATTTTATTGTTACTGTTAAAGAAAATTGCTGCAACTTCCAGTTTGACTTCTCCAAAGTGTACTGGAACCCACGCCTTGGTAAAGAGCATGAAAGAATATTGGCATTCCTAAAACCAGGTGACATTTTGTTTGATGTATTTTGCGGAGTGGGTCCATTTTCAATACCAGCAGCAAAACGTAAGTGCACAGTGTTTGCTAATGACCTAAATCCAGACTCATATAAGTGGTTAAATCAAAATGCCAAAAAGAATAAGGTCAACATGTCACTTTTCAAGTCATTTAACCTGGATGGTAAAGATTTCATATGTACCGTATTCAAAGATTTTATTGTTGATTTATGCAAAAGCCAAAATGCGGTGGAAACAAAAGCTAAAATACACATAACAATGAATTTACCTGCAATGGCTGTAGAGTTTCTGAAATACTTCAATGGATTAGTTGAAGATAGTTCACTCGGCCAAAAGTTTCATGGTGAAATTATTGTTTATGTTTATTGTTTTGCTGTTGGTGAAGACCCATGTTCTGTAGCAAAACAATTGGTTGTAAAAAATATTGAGTATGATATATCAAGTGATATTTTACATGTTTTTAATGTACGAAATGTGTCACCCAAAAAAGAAATGATGCGGATTACCTTCAAATTGAATAAGAACATAATTTTTGGACGAAAAAACAACATGGATTGCATTGAGCCACCACCCAAAAAATTGTGTGTATAGAATAGAATGTAAAATTAAAGTTGTAACATTTAAAATTCTAGTAGTTGTCCATTTTTTAAACAATATTTCTGTTTGAAGTTTATACAAATTGTTGTGAAACTTTATGGATAAAAATGTATTTTGTTTTATCACATTTTCACTATTTGAGTTATACTTAAGTGAATGTACATAATATAATATATATATTTTTGAATAGACTCTCTTTAAAAAATATTACAAATTTGATTTACCTTGCATATTTCTGAATTATATTCATAAAAATATGTTAATCATAAAGTCAAAAACTATATTATTAATATTATATATTCATTTTAGGAAATATGTACATATGTTGCATATATTTAAATATGTTAATTATGCTATTATGTATAATTAATTAATTGTTAAGCGTCAAGATGTTATGTATGATACAAAATGTTTTCTCAAAGAATCAACTAGGATATGGTATTTCATCATTGTATTGTGTTGGTAATAAAATGAAAACAGTATATTTTACAATTTAGATAGTTTACTTGAATCTATCCATTAAGAATCAGTAAGTTATCATTTTGCAATGACCCATCAGAACTAACCCGGATAACGATAATTTATCGCGGTTGTTAGAAACGATTTTGTAGTTTCTAACAATATAACTAGAAAATACCTTTACATGCGGTTAAATAAAAGTAAAAAAAATCTTTAAAATATTCTAAAAATCTATTGATATTTTTTTTACTTTAAATGTACTATACATGAGATACATACATACATACAGAGTAAATATTAAAAAATCGAGTGGTATATAAACGCGTCATCGCTGTAACGCGTTTCCATTGCGTTGTCATCGACCAAAGCATTCAGTTGCGTTCTTAGTCACGACTAAAGAAGGTTTATTTCAAAAATTTTATTTAAACATTAGATTTGTCGATTTTCTACTAGCTGCGCCAATGGTTTCACCCGCGCGGTGATGAAAATTGGTGATGTTGAAATCGAATCAGCCGTTGTGTTGGGAAAAGGTGACAAACAGGCAGTGCTACTTTCGAATTTATAATATTAGTAGGAATAGAGGAATTTCTTCTTTTGTGTAAATTTCCTACGAAAAAAAAATAGGAAGTTGCTCGATTCGTTCCGTTTCCTGTTTTAGTAAATAAATGAATAAAGTAATAAATATTAAAAAAAGATTGAGAAATTGATTTATCTGGTATCTCTCAACTCATACACGCACATATCGTGCAATGTTTCACTTTCGATATGAATGACACCGTACAGCACCATCACATAAGTGATTACGCGAATCATCGGCCTTGGTTCAAAAAATCACTGCCTTGCACGTGTGCCCGATGAATAGCATTAAAGGGATTTCACATTTTCTGTGACAAACGATTATGTGTCATCGACACGCGACGTACCGGAAACGGTGTGTTGTGTTGTTATTAGTTGTGTTTCCACGAGGCCGTCAACGCAACGACACCTCATTTACGGGTTATTTTTGGACTTGCGCCCCATGCTTATGGTATTGGAAATGTTCCGAACTCTCAAACCTTTACTGTAATACCCCTCTCGGCAAACGCCGCCCTAGACAGGCTGAGGTTCCTTCATCGTCCGGCACGTGGCAAAGCAGTGATTAAAATTTATTATTAAAAAATTAACTAAAATTTATTAAGCAGTGATTAAGATTAAAACAATCAACAATCTCATTGGAGCCGGCACCGGGATTTCAACACGTGTTGCGAATGCACAATGAATTAAAAGCGCGCGTCCAGATACTGAGCTGCCACCGCTCATTGTATGGCTTTGAGAAGAAAATGCAATAAGTATTAGATGCGTCCATTCATACTGGAAAGATCTTGTCTATAATAAATCGTGTGTTTGTTTTCTTATAACTGCACTGAAAACAACTAAACAAAAACGTAAACATCATTATAAACTAACTTTAAAACAGTAAAGTAAACAGTATTAAACATACAGCCACTGAATGACGTAGTATCGTGTCGTCGCCGTATCGTATCGTGTCTAGAGCAAGTTCAATCACATTTCTGTACCGTCAGTGCAAGCTAATCGTCACGATTATTCCCCCGACGTAGCAAAAACGTGTGTTGTGCAGTCCAGTGTCATGTGAGAAACAAGTCAATAGAAATAATTATTGGTCTACCAAACCGTCACAACATTTCTGTTGTCGTTCCGTGGTCTCGTCGTCTAATGAGTTTATGGCAGCTAAAAGTCGTGATCGTTTCTCAAGTTTGCCGGGTTTAATTTTTACCCTTTTTTATTTTTTATTTGTTGATGATCGATTTATTAAAGATGTAATAATATTTCGTTTCAAGTGAGGTGGTGGCAAATGAGCCGACGGCTCGCCTGATGTTAAGTGATATACTCCGCCCATTGACTTTTGCAACACCCGCAGGGTGCAAATGCGTTGCCACTTTTTAATAAAGTGAGCCCCGGCTACCTCACTCACCAGACGAAACGCAGAAGTATAACACTTTCACTTCACGACGGTCCTCTGTGTCTTGCCCGGACGGACCTGTCTGAGAAGACTTGCGTGGCCCTACCGCAGTTAAAATTATTGTACGTAATCTTTGTGTTTGCAAACACAAAGATTACTTACAAAACTTCATACCATTAGTGATACTTAGAATAAAAATCACATAAATGTCATATTTATGCCATACAATAACTTAATGCCTGAATAAAAAACCATTAATACTTTTATTAGTTCGCATAACCTTATCCCGTAAGTTACTTTGCCATGGACATGCAGTAAAAATCATGTGTCCACCTTCAAGACTACAAAAATATAACTCGATAACACGTGTTTTCTGAGGTCGTTTCTTAATTTAAATTTTTAAAATTACCAAGACACACACACGCACACACAAACATTCACCGGATCTTGAATAAGCTATAAATAACAGAAAAAAGAAGAGCAGTACTCGTTCAAAAGCATACGAGAGCACATAGAGTTGCGATTGAATAGATCAAATTTCATATCCCAACTTGTCGTGGTAATATGATTAATAAGAAAATTGTGTATGAGTTTTAATTACAGTCGAGCAAAATCTTACAGATAGCATACACATTACTTTGTATTTTAATAAATGCACAGATAAAGGAACTACGAAACTAAATAGTTATTATAAAGGTATAATATATGTTTCGTTTCGTAGTTTTTTTTAAATTAAATATTACCAACGATCGTACTTCTTATCGCAAAGGATATATGAGCTAAAACATCAAACATTTTCTTGTTGAACAAGTACGCCTCGATAACGTACTTAATACCATGCAGGATATAGCGAAAACCTAACGCACATAAATTGTTTCCTTCACGTAGGGAATAGTTTATTGTTAATTTCGCTATAACTACACCGGCATCGCTGAAACAACTCGTTCGTAGCAGCATTGCATACGGGTTGTTTAAAGTACTAATTAAAGATAAATTTCAAATAAGTATACCGTCTATTGTTTCAGACTTTTTAATTTAAAGCAATGCCGCGGAAACTGGGAAACGTTGCGATGGAGCTGCCAACATTTACAGAAGCGTTAGAGGAGACCGAACAGGTATTTTTTTTTACTTCATTATTTAAATTCTTTTACGAACATCTTAGTTAATGTGATGCAGATGCGGTAATAACCATTAAAAAGTAGGCCGCGGATATCTGCCTCACCGAACGAAACGCGAAAGTAATACTTTCACTTCACGGACAAGCCTGCCCATTCGCACACACGCAGAAGTTGCTGAAGAAGCTCAAGCCTTCGATTTGGGAAGGAGAAACCATTATGTTGAATAACCAGTTGTTTGAGGACGTATATAAACTACCAATTTTGTAACCTTCATAAAAATCAAAAACATGAGAAAAACTGCAACCTAACAATTGTTGTTCCACATTTCTATGCTATATTGACCAGCTTCCTTACACTTGACTGTTATAAGCGAATATTTTTGACGATATTCTGTAATCGAAACGTGTTTTTTTTTTCTTTTTTAAAGTAAGACTAAGTAAATATTTAAAAAAATATAAAAAATATACAATCATGATCCCAAATTAATGGTAATCAATTTACAAATCTCTTATCTTTATCGTGAGAGATCATCTAAATTTTTATCGCGGCAAAGTGAAAATAAAAGAAATTCACAATTAATATGGAACATGTATGTTTGTGATTGCGATAAAAGTAAAGAAATATGAAAAAGTACAAAGGAATAAGCATTGGAACCCGTATTCTTTTTTCCTAGGATTCGTATTAAGAAAAATCCAAATGTTTAACTTCCAATCAAATATGTAATCACCAAAAATGACTACATACAAGATATCTATAACGAGTAATATGTAAGAAGAAATTTTCATCATTCCTAAAATCATAGTCTTGAGTTTGACTATTTATTCTCAAATAACGACATAGAATAATTGTTTTACAATTCGCAGATACTCCAAAAATGCTTCGCCCAGTTTCAAACGGACGAAGTGTTCCTGTCATTCAACGGGGGCAAAGATTGCACTGTGCTATTAGACGTAACGATAAACGTTTTAAAGAATATGTGCAAAGCTAAAGACTTGAGCAGGGAACTCAAGGTGATCTACATTAGGACCATTGATCCATTCAAGGAAATAGAGGATTTCGTTAAGGAGATAGAAATGCATTACGGACTAAGACTCATCGTGACCGAGGGAGAGTTGAAGGCAGCTCTACAGAGGATAACAGACAGCGATGAGAAGTTAAAAGCGTGCCTTATGGGTACCCGTCGCACAGACCCGTACAGTGAGAATTTGAAGTTTATGCAAGTGAGTTTAAAGTTCAATTTACAATCAAACTAAGACAAAGTCTGGTGATTTGTTAATTCCCATTTCATAATACTCCTGCCATTAATAAACTACCTAGGTGGGGTCGATACAACAATTTAAATCAAGCTAGTTAGGCTATGATTTTTTCCGCTCGGCCGCCTGCCTCACGTAAACTACCCACACGGAACAATAAATATGTGTGACCTACTGATAATTGTACCAGATCTGGGCCTTTGCTGCCAAAGGGGGAATAACGTCAGGCCTGTATCAAGATGTATGCGTAAAACGAAATTTATTTATTTATTTTTTTAAAAGGCCTATCAACAACTGTTTACACTATATCTTAATAATAAAAAAGAAAAGAAACAATAAGTACTTGTATAAGTGTAACAATAACTTAAAGATAAGCACAGCAAGTACAGTTGAACATCATAACAATAGAAATAAAATTAAAACTATAAATAATGAAATAGTAAAAAAAAATAATAAAAATGTGGCTTAAAATGAACAGCTGTAAAATAAGTTAAATTAAATTATGGCATGCTCGGTATGTTTATTACATAAGGTAAATATATATATTCAAATTTTGTAGAGTGAGGTATACATTATTTTAGAAACTTTGGCTATTGAGTCAACATGAAAATCTATTTGATCGCTAAAAAGATTAATTATTTTGCAGAATTTAATATAAGGGGAATTACTTCCCAGCACTGTTCTGTCTTAGTGGTGGACAAGTGGTGTAATAGAAATAATAAAACTATTTCAAAGATACGTGAAATCTGCCAACCGCAGTAGGATCACGTGGTGGAATATACCCAGTGGGACATTTATAGACTGTTACTAACTGACTCCCGTTTTCTTATCGTATATACGGATTCAAATATGCTATTATTATATATATTACTGTACCAAATGAAGCGGCTAAACGATCATTATCACGTTGAGTCGTAATTACTCCACGAAGATCTAAATTTCCGATTTCCCAGAATACTGACGCAGACTGGCCGCAAATATTGAGGGTCTCGCCACTCTTAAACTGGAGCTACCATCAGATATGGAGCTACATCTTGCAAAGGAGGGTGCCGTATTGCAGTCTGTACGACAAAGGGTAAGGTTTTTCTCACTTTACACGCAATATACAGTTAAGGCCCATTTACATGGTGCCAGTTTCTTGCCTGTTGTATACAATTAAATTGAAGCAATAAATGAGTTGCATGGTCTAAACAACAAATGGTCTAAACAATTATTGCGCGCAATTTATTGCATTCAATTATTGCTCTTATATGTACAAGAAAATGGCATCGTGTAAATGGGCCTTTACTGGTTTGAGTCCCGGAAAGATAGCAACGCTTAATTTGATATTATTGAATTGAACCCCAAAGTATTATAATTTTTTTTATGTGAAAAGTTGCCAAACGAGCAGACGGTCCAAGTGATGTTAAATGAATACCGCCGCCCATGGACATCTGCTACACCCGAGGGTTACAGATGCGTTGACAAGACAACCTTTTAAAATTTGGGCTCCGGCTACCTCACTCATCAGACGAAACGCGAAAATATTTGTCATACTTCCAATTTACGCCGGTCTTCTGTGAGGTCGTGATACTTACCCGGACGAGCCGGCCCATTCGTGCAACAGTCGAGGCTGCTGCGTGGCCCTACCACCGTAAGTAATTAGGTAGGTAGATTGTTTAACCCTCTGAATTGATCAGAATGATCTTCTTAATGATCATAATGAACAAATCAAAGAGTTTAATCATCCTTTTGGCAACTCAAATGACATTTGAGAAGACTTTTGACAGCTGATTACTTAATCTCTACCGTGATCAGCGTTTCAGAAGCCGGGCGTAATTCTCTCCGTTCAACGTCCTAAATCCGCGTCAATTTCAAATCCTCTCAAATTTTACGACAATTCCAGCTACACGTCGATCGGTAGCAGTTCGAACACGCGTCCCAACCAGGCGTTGGCGTGCGTCGAGAACGGCCGCGTGCGCTACCGGCCCGCGTGGCTGCTGCCAGAGGGTCGCTGGAGCGAGCGGGCCGCGGCAAGATCCGCGCGGATCTAGCCAACGGCGCGGATCTGGCCAACGGCGCGGACCTCGCCAACGGCGCGGATCTGACCAACGGCGCGGATCACACCGACGGCGCGATACGCGCAAAGACCGTCGCGTCGGACGAGAAGCGCGCGACAGAGACGGCCATATGCGGAAATGAGGATGCCAGTGAAGGAGGGACGGTCGAGACGATCAAAGCAACACAATCCGCAAATACCGACGCGCAGTGATATTAGGTTTTAGTTTTAGCAAAATCTGATGTGATTTTAGTTTCCAATATAGGTGTCAAATTCTCGTTCTATTTTTTTTATTTATACTTTTATGTATATTTACAGGTTAATTAGCGAATAATAATTTAACTCAATCATGTGTTGTTGTGTATTCGTTTTTAATTCTCTCAAGTTACGCTTATCTGTTCGTCACAATGGTAGAATATAAAAACGAAATGGCCGACCTGTTAGTTTTTCCAAGAGTATCCTAATTTTCATAAAACAAATTATGATAAGAGCTAATCTGGGCGAAACTATTTCTTGAATCAATACATCGGCTAATATAGAACTTTTTTTTTTTTTTTTAATTTTATTATCAAGATGTACAAATTATATGGATACCAAAAACTATATTGGAAAAGTTATATCAGAACTGTCATAGATTATATGTATATATTGTAGAATCAATAATAAAACAAAACCTTTTGGCTGTTTGTTTTTATACATTACAATGTTCAAAATCTTTATTCAAATATTTCTCTTAACGTCCATAACTAAACAAATATCTTACAAGGGTTACTAAGTGTCCTTCTATTTATTATACAAACCGATTCGAAATAAATTAAGGTGCATTCGGCTAATTCCGTAAATCGGGATATTCTGATAATCACAATTTTTATTATGAAATACGGCAATAATTTTGCAGAGCAAACGTTCATTTAGCGATCATCTTAGGATGGCGGCTAGACGAACGTTGCCAGAACAAAATTATTGCCGTATTTCATAATAAAAATTGTGATTATCAGAATATCCCGACTTAATTAATTCAACACCTTACTTAATTTTTCAGTGTGTCTACAAATTCAAAAGACAACTTACTTCGTACTTAAATATGGCAATGTTATCTTTATACAAGTGTAAAAAGAAATATTTCTTTGTTACATTAAAGAGCTTATTTATCAAGAATCACGTTGTTTTTATTGCAACATTACGTGTAATCATATATATTCATAAATACGTATATACAGCGTGTCGTTACCATCGCGACAAAAAATGAACACAAATATAGGGAATAACTTTTTAAAGTTGTATTAAACATTTAAATTCTTTAAACATCAATATTTACAGAGTTATTAAATTTTCCAAAACAAAGAATTTTAGAACACCTTACCTATAAAAGCGTAACGTATAGTTCATTTGTAAAGGTCACAAAGCATATGAATGGGTTGAATGAATTTAAAAGAGACAAAACATACTGTTAGAAGGAGAGGCTTGTAATGCGACGCTGTGGCGCGAGTTGTATAGGATGTTACAAATTTTGTTTCTTTTTTACTTAATTAGTTTGTTTGAAAAATATTTTTTTTTAATTATGGATTTTGTTTAACGTTAATATTTTTTTATGATTATTGGCAAGTAACGTTAGACGTGTGTTCATTTATTTTCGCGATGGTAACGACACGCTGTATATATTCATAATAAGTTATACTCATAAAATTATGGACCAAGGTCCATAATTCTATAAGCAAAATACATTGATATTGATAAACGTCGACAAAAGTCAAAAGCCCAATTTCCAAAACAGCTGTCAACGCATCTGCAACCCACGGGTGTAACAGATGTCCATGGGCGGCGGTATTCACTTAACATCAGGTGAACCGTCTGCTCGCATGGCAACTTCTCACATAAAAAAAAATCGCCGTCAAGCCGACATAACTCGAACCCCGTTTATGGTGTTCTGATACTTGAAAAATTAAAATCTAGTTCTGGTTTAAATGACATTATTTTTTGTAATGCTAATTGACGACCCCAATGGCGTAGTGGGTAGTGTACTTGCCTCCTGCGTCAGAGTTCGATCCCCACTTCTGGAAAAGTTTTGTGTGAGGAACAGTGTTTTTCTACTTTCTGGGTGTTTATATGTATAATATGTATTTATTTACAAAAGAAAAGTATGCTTAAGAATGTTTATTAGTTATCTAGTATCCGTAGTACAAGCGTTGCTTAGTTTGGGACTAGAGAGCGTTGTGTAAATATGTCCTAAAAATGTTTATATTTATTTAATGTTTAAAAATTTTATATCTATTCTCAGCACTGAAGGTGAAATTTAATTATAATAATTTATAGACAAATGGACGATAAGTTTGTTGCCGCTGTGGGGGTTTGAATCTGCGTCTGCCTTCGGGGTACGCGCCCGAAGCTCCCGACGAAAACCGCACCGTATTTAAATTATTGATTTAAATAAAAAAATACTGGAGATTTTAATCGTTCTGGACTACATAACTACATAATTGTTATAAACGAAAAAAAAATGTTAAAAAACACCCTTCATCACAGGTTCATAAAATTAGATACGCTTTTTATTTTAAGTTTTTTTTTTTTTTTTTGGATTTGCAACTTTCAACATCGAGTTTTTTTTTTATACTTAACATCAAACGGTACATGTTCCGTAACCTTATCACATTTTGTCTCTTAATATCACTTTATAAGTACATTATTATTACGTATTGCTTCCACTGTTGTTCGGCTTCACGTGCTTCCTTATAAACTCTTGGAACATTGCGACGTCTTCGGGTTTATCGTCTGGAATAAAAATAAAATATATTAAATGTAACTAACACGTTCGTTTCTAATTCCGCACGTGTAGTACGGTATGTGTTTTCATGACTCCGCGTATATGTGCGTGCGTGCGTGTGTTTGTGTGTGTGTGTGTGTGTGTGTGTGTGTGTGTGTGTGTGTAGTGCATTTTAAATATAAATAATTGCTGCATTGTCAATGGAGGGCGGTTATCACTTAGCATCAGGTGGAACGCCAGCTCGTTTGGCATATTTTCTCATAAACAAATTAAACAAAACGGCCAAGTGCGAGTCGGATTCGCGAAAAAAAAAATCATGTCTGTTGTACGGGAGCCCCACTTAAGTATTTTTTTATTGTTTTTTAGTATTTGTTGTTATAGCCGCAACAGAAATTAATCATTTGCGATAATTTCAACTGTCTAACTATCACGGTTCATGAGTTACAGCCTGGTGACAGACGGACAGACAGAGAGACGGCGGAGTCTTAGTGATTGGGCACCGTTTTACCCCTTCGGTACGGAACCCTAAAAGTCGTGTCTAATTGGGTAAATGTAATTTGGCGATGGGCGTTTGTATGCGTCCCCGCGTGCGTGTGTGCGTGCGTGCGTGCGTGCGTGCGTGCGTGCGTGCGTGCTTGTGTGCGTGTGCAGTGTTAGTGCCATCACTCACCGGCGCCTGGTTCTTCGGCCTCTGTGCCTTCGTCGTCACTCGAGCTCTCGTTGGCAGGATGCTTCAGGTAGACGTCGCTGATCTCCCTACCAGCTACAACCTCCTCAATGAGCTTCTTCTTGTCAATGACCGTGTCCGCTTCGTCTGTTACGAAACGGGACAAATTGGTAGCTGTGCTCAGGGCCGGATTCAGGGGAGGGCAACCGGGGCGACAGCCCCGGGGTCTTCATAGACAAGGGGATCCCACAATAGAGACTTCGGAAAAACTTTCATATTCAGATTAGTAAACAACTTTTCCTTTCATATTTTTTTTCGCGTTTTACGCGAACTATGCTTTTCACGATATTTCCTAAAGGCGTTCTTCTTCAAACCCTAGGTCAATTTCGCGATTAGCGTTTCAGTTCCACACTGCGCAATATTTTAAAGTTTCAGAACATGACATACGCATAAGGTTACCGGTAAAAATATGAACTTTTCTTTTGTGAATAAATATACTGATATTTTTATACATAAAAATTTACCTTCCGTATGTTTGTGTGCACAAAAGTCAAAAACACAAACAAAGTCAAAAATTGTCTTGAATAGCTATTGACAAGGAGAGCGTTTTTATACACTTTTTATTCCTAAATTCCAACGGAAATACATCATCTGTGAAAATTTCAACTGTTTAACTATCACGGTTCATGAGATACTTAGTAATAGGGTCCCATTTTACCCTTTGCATACGGAACCCTAAAAAAAAGAAACAGGGAAGCGAAGCCAGGTTCAATCAGTAGGTTAGCACTATGTTATTCACACAGTATTTTTCTAAGTAGTGTGCATCGAACCCACACCCACTAGCGTAGGAGCCCCACTCCATTCTTTACCCAGATTTCCACTCTTCATCTCTTCTTCCTTCCGCCTTCTCTCCTCCAGCTTCTCCGCTCGCATCTTCAGCCATTCCGCTTTGTATTCCCTGAAAGCGCGCACAATTCGTTAGTAATCGCCCTCACTTCTCAAGTAAGCTACAAACAGACTTTGTAATGTTAATACATTGTGAATTTTTTGTCTCCGTTGCAACAGCTTGGTAGCTCAATCCTGTCACTCACTTCCGACCGCAATTCATAAAACTTCCGAATTGTAAATTCTTAAAAAAAATAATGTCAGCATCCAGTTTTGGAAATAGAATTCAATTATAATGTCCCTATTAAATAAAGATCTTTTAATATTCACACATTGCTTACTTCTCATATTCTTCTGCCGCTTCATCCACCAACTTGAAGAACTCGTCTAATCCCTGTTAAGGAAACAATGGTTGAGTTTTTTTTAACTTCACCTGTATGTGTGTATGCATTTCATTAATCAGATAGGTACTGGAAACTTTCGCTTTGATTTTCATCCACTGTAAGATATCAGAATACTTCAAGAACTGCACTGTCAAATAATAAAATAGAAATAACTGTGGTAGGGCCACGCGTCAGCCTCGGCTGTTGCGCGAACGGGTAGGGTCCACAACCACACAGAAGACCAGTGTTGTGGAAATGTTATACTTCTGTATGTCGTCTAGTAAGATACCTCTTACCATTATATGAAAAGGTGACAACACATCTGCAACCCCTACGGGTATTGCAAGTGTTCATGGGCCGCGGTTATCATATAACGTCAGGCGAACCGCTAGCCACCTTCTCGCATAAAAAACGAACACAATTTAGTTAAACGGACAAAACTTTATTGTTTACATACATAAATTACATGTATTTAAAAAAAAAAACATTATTGTTTACTCACTTCACCCGTATGTGAGCTGACACCGCAGCATTTCAGGTCTGCATAGAAGCTGTCGAGCGCTAAGGCCATTGACCTGGTCAAATTACCGGCGTAACTGCCGCCCTCCCCATCCACCCCGGCGTCCAGAGCGTCTTGGAACGACTCAAAGTCTCGCATCCACTCCACAGCATAAGCGCTGTCCACTACATCCGTCTATTAAATGGAGACAATCTGTTTTTTACTGTAAAACCTAACACAGAATCAAATGCTTATCCTGTAGATGTTGTTAAGGGTTACAATGCAGAAGTACAATGTACAACAATTTAGATTAATCTAAGAACAAATCTTTAATAACGCGACATCACTGATATAACACAGACTAAAACTTCAATTAATTGCTTGAATAATATGTTTATTTGTACAGTAAATTAGAAGTAAACCAGTTGAAGTTGTGTTATATAAATGTTTCTCTAGTTATTATATGTGATACCATATGCTTCTACATAAAGTAACATTACAGTAATTATATTCCGTGCCATATATTTTATTTTTGGAAAAACAGGCAAACTTTACATATTGATTTAGATAAATAAAGTATAAGCAACTTACCTTGTTCATGACCACAATGAATGGTAACCTGGTCTTGTATAGTATAGAGCATGCATACAACATGTTTGACATGAAAGTAACCGGTGACACACTCCTGACCGTATCCATTACATACACCACAACTGTTGGACAAGAGGAAGCAAGGGCCTCCGTCACTATTGTACCTGATGCTGACCATGTGAACACTTCTATTTGACCTGCAGATAACATTTTAAGTTACAATTTTTGTAAATTACACCCTACAATTTATTTTATAAGTTTACACAAGATTAACGTTTTCATTGTAATTAAATTACTTTTGTTTCCATTTTGTTATTTTTGATACTTATGCATATAGTGTTTATATATAGTTAATTGTGCATTCAATTCTTTTATTTTTCTTCAGGTTTTGTAAAACTGTATTAGTGTAACAATGATTGACAAACTGGCAAGACTGTCAGCAACCATCACCCATTTCTTTTTATGTGATAAGTTGTCAAGCGAGCAGATGGTTCATCTGATGTTAAGTGAATACCGCCGCCCATAGACATCTGCTACACCCGAGGGTTGCAGATGCGTTGATAACCTTTTGAAAATTGGGCTCCGGCTACCTCACTCACCAGACGAAATGCGAAAGTATTATACTTCCACTTTACGCCGGACTTCTGTGAGGTTCCCATGGTGTTTCCATTCAATTAAGTTCTCAAATTTCTTCTACTATTAAGTTTGTATACATAATTATAAATTCTTTAAAACAATAATTTTTTTCCAAATAGAATTTTATCATTAATTTTTTTCTTTAATATTTTTACATATTTAGTGTTTATCATTTGGATACCTGGTGTGTCAATAACACAATATTTATGCTTCGTCCCAGCTTTTTCAATAAGATCCACAACTTGACCAAACTTTGTGGAGAATAAGTTTAGAGCAGTCACAATGCCACCATTAGGACCCAATCCATACTGTTTCATCACTTCTTTGTAGTCCACTGTGTCCCGAACATCTGAAGGTTTTATTTGTTATAAAACTACATGGTTAAGCACAATAGTCTTTCACGGTTAAAACATAAAAGCTTTCTTCTTCACCTCTCAACAAGAATTATGTAAAAATAATGTGAAGTTTTGTTAAAAGGAAAACGGTAGGGGAATAGACACATACCAATATTCGCAGGATACGGTACTTCTCTACAGGCAGGGTCTAAATTTATAAGATAGGGTCGGGACCCATCTACAATTTTTCCGGCTAAGCGCCTCGTAAACGAGGTTTTCCCAGCACCTGCCATACCTGAAGTAATTAATAAATCAATTAGATAATTAACTAGCCAAAATTTACAATCACCCACTGGTTGATTTTAACCAATTTAATAAAAATAAATATAATTTATATGAAAACAATGTGTATAAAAATAAAAGTCTAACCTAAAATTATAAGGCAAATGGGCTTTCTACTTTCTTCATCCATATTAAAGTTTTTCTGAGCTCGTATTAAATTTATGCTTTGAGAAACTTTAAAAAGATTTTGTAACGTATTAAGTAAACAGCTTTATCTATTCCAAATTACAATATTTAACAAAAAGACAAGACAAGAATGACAATTGACATTTGACAAACACAAGACAGAGAGACAGAAGATCACAACAATTCGAAACTCACATCAGAGACAAAATAATATACAGCATCAAAAACCAAACGTTGCGGAACTAAGTGCAACTTTACGGGAAATTAAATTAAGCTAAGGAGAGTTATTAGTACATTACATATTACATATTTCCAAAAATTTTATCTTTGAAGGGCCCACAGATCACTTGGATTTAATTTAAAACTAACGTTGACTTGTTTAAATAACTTTCATACCCCAGGATAGCGCAACTTGTCATTCATATATTTTTTAAGCCTATTCACTCTTGCCTTGAAGACGTCTACATTATAAATGGACGGAAAAAGGCCGGCAGGTTGTTTCATTCCTTAGCTTCGTTGTGCATGGAACGTCGTTAGCAAAAGGGTGGAGCCGAACGTCTTGTTGTCCGTTGATGGAAAGAGGCGGGAGAAATCAAATTGTGCAACTCCAACACGCACTCCCCAAAATGCATCCTGTAGAAAACCGAGAGGCTACTAATATGCGGCCTGTGCTTAAGGTTAGTGAGATTGATTTTAACCAAGTTACGGTCACCGATAAGCCTTTCCACATGCCTCTCCATTGAGTCCAGGGCATCCAGATAGCATATTGCAGCCCCAGCCCAGATATGGCACATATAGGAGTACTCCACACATGATCGAACTTTGGCTTTGTAATGAATAAGAAGCTGTCCCGATGTGAAGTACCGTCTGACCTTCGCATGGACCCCCCTTACAGCTGCTTTGGTTTTTGACGCAAAGACAAAGACCCAAAGTTGAGGTTTGAGGATATTTCGACTCCCAACAACTGAACGCGGTCGGTATAATCCAAAGACACATTCTGGAAAATAGGAGCCTGGGTGAAGGAGCTCCTATATGTGCCATATGGTTATATGGCAATTTAGAGGTTTTAGAGGCGTTGAATCTCACACGATTGGCATCGTCTCATTCAAAGACCGCCTGCAATGTAAGATTCAAATACTTTACTATGGCCTCTTTTAAAGTCAGTTCTAAATAATGGGAAATAAAATGAAACCAAAATACCATTTTTTTTTTGTTGTTTCGTGTATATTATGATTAAATAGTAGTGAAATTCGAAACTATTTTGACAAGGATTATTAATTTTTCTTAAAATTCATTCTAAACATCCTAAAAGAAACATGAAAAAGGATTAAAAATAGACACTTTTATTGGAAGGCACTTTATTTTATTCAAAATATATATACAATTTGTACATCTTATGATAGGTAAAAAACTGTTACAACTAATTATCTTTTTCGAGATTTAAAAACATAATTGGATATAGATGGCCCAATTTTGATATATTCTTCTGTATAATTAATCTTAGAGTGTCTGTGTAGGTGGATGGCGGTTTGCATGTAGAAGGATCGCGCCAATGAAGACCTGATTACATAAAACAGCCAATGATTATCTTAAGAAAAGGTTAAAGATTAACACATTTTAACAGTTATTGCAAAAGAAAAAAAAACTGTATGAAAACTCTTCCTGTCATAAAGAAGGATACAGATTTACAATTTCAAAACCTCATTTTTCAAATTTAAGAAAACCAGCTTATGCGGTGTTATAAATATGAATATGAAACCGCTACATTTAAAACAAAAATTCAGACTTACTAAAACTCATGTTTTAATTTTACACTTACCAGAAGAGTCACACGTAAATAATGCCGGCGAAGGCACGTGATCTCTCGTGTAATTCCATAGACAATCGCGTAACACTTGCACAAGCTGTAACAATCACAATTTCGGTTTATTTAAAAATATGTAAATATTTGATGACTCCGTGGCGCAGTTGCTAAAGTATTGGCTTCGGCGTCGGGGGTCGTGGGTTCGATTCCCACACGGGACAACTATTTGTGTGACCCGCAGATGGTTGTTTCGCATCTGGGTGTTTGTCCGCGTGAAATTTATGATTGTAAAAGGTCCTTATAACACAGGATTATGTTATCCTAAAATAAGGGCCACGTTTAAAAAAAAAAGAAAAAGAAAAGATATCATACACATAAAATCCATCAAACACCAACATTGCGTGACCCTGAAATAGCTCATAGCTTAATCTAGTAAGTCTTATCCATTTTTAACACCAGGTGTGTTAAAATCCATTAAATAGTTTTATTTGACAATATGAAATATTCATGTATGTACATTTTTTTTAAAGAAAACGCTTATCTTCTCTGTTAGTTTTTACTGATTAATAATTTTTTTACACCTAACATTTTTGAGTCCTGTGTTTACCGAAAAAACGTTTTATTGTTACATTTACAGTACATTATGTAGTTTAGTTACAGGTTTCAATTCACGAACAGACCGCAGATGCTGCAACCTGCTCAAAACATTGTGAAATAAAAATATTGTCATAAAATAAAATAAAATGTACCTTAAAGTACCCACACAGCAACTTCCGCCATTGCACGAATGATTTTACAGAAGACCATTGTGGAGTTGAAGTATTATATTTTTGCGTTTCTTCGGGTGAGTGGGGTATCCTGAGCCCGATATATTAAAAATTACAATTAAAAGTTTATACTTCTCTAAAGTTTCTTTTAAAAAACTTTATTGTTGAGGCAAATAAGAGAAGTGTTTTTTTTTATTATAACGTACAAAGATAACCACGAAAATGGTTCCTTACCTCACTGGCGGTTAACTCCGGTGCCAATTCCAACATGTGGCTGAGAGGGTGTGGCAGAAGCTGCCCCAAGGTCATCGTGGACAGGAGTTCAGACAGTGCTGCCATTTCAATTGCCGTCTCAGCAGATTGTGCGTGCCGATCTATTATTGTACAAAACTAAAATAGTTAATGGAAAATGTAATACGCATTTATTAACAATTGTTGTGTAATATTATAGTAGAACGAAGTGTATGTAATACAGGTGTTATATAGAAATCATTGGCAGATGCAGTCCTGTTTTTTTTTTTTTTTGTTTAACGTGGACACTGGCACACACTTTGGCAGCCACGTTCACAGGCACGCATTCAAGCACGCACGTATGAACGCAAGCTCTCTAAGATAAGAATTTTATATATCACCTAGGAGAATACAAAAAGTATTAAGGCTATGTAAAGGGTATACATATATTGTGTATGTTATATCAGGTCCCACGATTACCCAAGCCCGTTAATAATAAGTGCTGCAATAGAATATATGTGGTGTATCGAAGGGCAACGAACAGCGTCGCGACGTGCCGAAGCCTGCGGTAGAGATGCGGAAGCTTCGGGACGCGTGGAAGCTTCTGAGCTCGAAGCTAATCGAGGCTTGTGCAACAAAATCAGCGAAGTGCGCGCGGGCTACGCAAGCTCTTCGACGCCTCTCGAAGCGGTCAGCTTGGCGGTGTTGGTGACGGCAGCGACGACGAGTCGCGACAGAGAGGGCTTTGAAAGCTCATCGACGCTTCTCGAAGCTTACCTCACCGAGGTGGGCGTGGGCCTGCAAGCTCCTCGACGATACGTGCAAACTTACCGAGATGATCGCGGGCCTTGCAAGCTCCTCGACGCTTCTCGATGCTTCTCGAAGATAGTGAAACTAACCCAGGTACACGCACAGGCTACGCAGCAGCTTGGCTGTGTTGGCGACAGCAGCGGCAGGGGCAAGATTGGGCCTTGCAAGCTCCTCGCCGCTTCTCGAAGCTAGTAGAACTCACCGAGATGCGCGCGGGCCTTTTAAGCTCCTGACCGCTTCTCGAAACTAGTGGAACTCACCGCGGTGCGCGCCGGCCTTGCAAGCTCTTCATCGCTTCTCGAACTCTAGTGGAACTCGCCGAGGTGCGTGCTCGACGCTTCTAAAAGCTTCTCTAAGCTTTTGGGAACTCGCCGAGGTGCGTGCTCGACGCTTCTAAAAGCTTCTCTAATCTTTTGGGAGCTCGCCGAGGTGCGCGCGTGCCTCGCGAGCTCCCCGCCGCTTCTCGAAACTTCCCGAAGCTAGTGTTACCCACCGAGGTGCGCGCGCAGCCGGTGCAGCAGCGTGGCGGCGTTGGCGCGCAGCAGCGCCGAGGCGAGGCAGAGCGCGGGCCGGGCGCGCGCCGCCCGCCGCAGCGCCGCCCTCGCCACCGCGCACCGCTCCAGCGCGCCGCGCATGTACAGCTCGCGCTCTATGCTCACTTGCTGCGCGCGGGGGCGCACGGAATATCCGCTTAGGTACGCGGCAGGGATGTCGGAAGTGAACAAATATATCGATATACCGGTCGTAGGAACCTTTGTCCGAAAAAAAAATTCCGCATCCGAATTTGGAAAAATATCGTTCCTCTTCCGAAACTGGCACCGTGTAAATGGGCCTTTATACAAGTAATAATAACGTCGACTTTGGTGATGATGCCATCGCCAGTTAATGAACTAAACACAAGCCATGGCGAGTTCGTCTAGTGAGTGCGGTAGCCGGTGCCCACCTCTTCTAAAAGGCCAATGGGCGGCGGTTACCACTTAACATCAGGTGAACTGCCAGCTCGTTTGCTACTTTCTCACATAACACAAACATTTTGTGCCTATTTTTTACACGTAACAGTTAGTGTTTTTAATTAAATTGAAGATTAGGGGAAAAAAATAACCCCACCTTAGTGAAGTCCTCGTCGGGCCATGGCAGCCCGTTGTACATGACGTCCGGTGACACCAGCTCGACCAGCAACAGGGATATGGATGTGGCGCCCTCAACAATGCCGCTGTTACCGTCCTACCGACAAAACCAAAAAAAAAATTAGCACCAAATTCCATTGAAGAATTATTGAAGTTATAGACGTTCAGACAAAAAACACATTTGAGAACTGATATAGAAAGATTTGGTGGTCAAAAACAAGAAAATTAGTTACGGGGACAATCGGAGATACGTCTTGTCCAGTCCAAAGCTGCCGGTCAAATAGACTCTCACCATACAGGACATCAAAGCGCCCATAAGCAACTCGTTGTTTGTGGTCAGGATCGGCGGCAGCTGACCGTTGTCGTCGTGGTCGCTGCTTTTCCGCACGCCCTTGCCTATTATGCCCGCGTGGAACACCGACGTGTGGCTTTGCGTCAATTGGGTTATTGGACCCTGTAAAGTAATTGCAAATATTGAGTAACTCGCTCAAAATGGCAGTGGACAAAAAAGGTACCCTCCAGGGCTCTCCGCTGCTGCTGGGCTCTCAGCTGATTGAATCAGAGCACACATGCATCCAATCGGAGTGCACGTTCATCCAAGCGCGGCGCATATTCGTCCAATCAGAGCGCGGATAGATTCAATCAGAGCACTCGTAGATTACATCAGAGCACACACGCATACAATCAGATCTTATAACTATTTTTATCCCATTGCGGCATATGACATGGATCATCTGAATGATGATTCAAAGCGCACATAAATCCAATGGGGGAGCACATACATTCAATCGCAACGCATATTCATCCAATCATAGCGCATGTACATTCAATCAGAGCGCAACGCATTTGTGAGCCCCTCGGGTGTTGCAGGCGTTGGGCGGCGGTAATCACTTACCATCAGGTGAGCCTCCTGCTCGTTTGCCCCTTTTCTCCATAAAAAAAAAATAACGCACAGGGACATCCAATCAGAGAGCGCAGATTCAATCAAAACGCGCGCGCATCCAATCAGAGCGCACACGCATCCAATCAGAGCGCGCGTACATCCAATCGGGTCGCGCGTAGATCCAATCAGGTCGCAGACGCGTCCAATCAGAGCGCCGCCGGCGGTCGGCACTCACGTGTTTCTGGTTGAGGTGCATGAGCAGCTGGTCGTGGCGCCAGTGCGCGGGCGCGTGCGGCTTCGAGCCGAAGGCGCGCTCCTCGCGGAACATCGCCGTCTCGAGGAGCTCGCGCAGCGCGACGGCGCGGGCGAGCTTGCTGTGCACGCACAGCTTGCGCAGCAGCCGGCACGCGGTCTGAACGCCGAGCGTCTTCTCCATCAGGTCTGAAAAGGGCCACCGGTTCACGCACCACGAGCGCACGCGAAACGCTCTCGGAGCGAGCCTTAGCGAATACACGACGCGGATAAGGGACCAAGTGAGGGCACGCGAAACGCTCAAGAGCGATACCAAGCGAACCCCCCACGCGGTTAACGCACCAGGACACGCGAAACGCTCTATGAGCGATCCGGAATGAGTCGCCGATGCGGAATATGCACCACGAGAGCGCACACGAAACGCTCTTTTGGCCCGTACACTAGAAAGCCGATTTAGAAGAGAGCCGATGTAGTAAGTTAAGATTTTCGTCGCTGTGGCTATATGCCGATATTGAATTTATTTGTAATCTAAAACAAGTAATTTAGGAATAGAGCATTCAATGGCATAGATTTCTTCTCGAAGTCTTTTGTAAATTGTAAATCATATATTCCGTAAACATTATTATCGCAAAAGGGATAAAACGAAAATGGAACCATCCGATACCTTCTATATGCAGGCACCTGAAGAAGTATCTGACCGTTGCTTGGACGACCTTCAATATCGCTTCCACGCTGGGCGGCGGCGCCTTCGTCCCGGTTATGTCGACCCTGTCCAACACCTGTGGAGTTTTGATCATGATCAGACGCAAGTCACTATCGGGTATATCCCAGAGCTCAAACGTTCTGAAAATAGCCAGGTTGACCCTTCCTTCCCCAAGACGACAAAGTATCTTTTGAAGATTTCCACTCGATACCATATAAAGGGGAAGCGGGATCAAATGAGTGCTTAGCTCTTAGTCGTTGGCTAGACATTGTAATTTGTATAAAATAAATGTTTCAAAAGTCTTCATTGGCTACTGTGATTAAGGATAATATATATTTTTTAAATTATATACTTTTAATATTACGCACCAACACCACTTAAATGTTAAGTGTTCGTCGGAAACAAACAGAAATTAAATTCTTCTTATGGACCATCATAAAAACTAAAACAACCGTTCAAAAACGCGTTCTCAAAATACCATAATTATCATATCATAGTGTTCTATCATTAAACCAATATCAATTCTTTAATAAATTCTTTTATCATTTATATAATCATAATCGGTGTAAGGAATTAGCCCAAACATCGTTTTGGTCCTTCGATCCGGATCTGAATCAGTGACCTATGGATTGATATTATCCATACTAATATTATAAATGCGAAAGTAACTCTCTCTGTATGTATCTCCGAGTAACTCACTCCAAAAGTACTGAACCGATTTAAATGAAATTTGGTACACAAATAGCCTACAGGCTGAAAAAGTACATAGACTATTTTCTAATTGGAAAAAAGTATTGAAAGATATTTATACAGTAAGGGCTTCAACGCGAGCGAAAAGCTAGTAATATATATGTACATTTATAGATTTGAAAAGAGAACCTCGGCGAGGGCGTGGCAGGTGGGCATCTCGGGAAGCGATGCCGCGGTGTAGGGCGGGCGGGGGCGCAGAAGGGAGGCGTAGTGGCGCAGGGCGGCACCCACGCGTTGCACATTCGCCTCCACCGCCCGCCCTATCGGCCGCGTGCGCAGGTGCGTCACCCTGCCCCCGTTCTCCCACCTGCGGATTACACCAGACACCTTCACTGTTCGTTTCGTGTCAAAGGGATTTTTTTTACTTTCGACGGCAGCAAATTTGAATGTTTACCGCAAAGTTTCATGGTACTTATGACCTAGGCACATTTTCACAATGGCAATTACTTTAACACGCCTGCGATTTGACGTGCGGAAGGTGTTGTGTAGTGTCTTAAAGACCACTGCGACCTACAAGATCTATTGTAGGTCGCAGTGGTCGATAGATTCGATGTTGATAATTTAATAGCACGGTCATGGTACGGCACGGTATAGTGGGCAGACTCCTATAATCGTAATACAAATTATACCTATGGGGTGGTTCTGAACACACAGTTCTGAGATGGTGTACACATTAAATTTCATAGAGACGCTAGCATAAGAACGCCTGTTATAAATACCTCAGCAACTTGATCAGGTTCAGGCAGAAGTGGTGCAGGTAGGTCTTCTTGTCTTCGGGCACATTGCCCTCTATGAAGCACCTCTTGATCTGGGTGTCCGAGGTCATCGACTGCCTGAGGGCGTACTCCACGCCGGTGTTCACCAGGCTCTGGTACCGCTCCGTGTCGGCGCTGACCTCCGAGGAGTCGCTGGGCGTGTGCATCGTGATGGTCCCGGACAGTATGCGCACCAGCAGGGCGAGTGTGGTGTCGCTGCGGGAATACTGGAGGAGGTAGCTCATGGTGGTGACGAACTCGGAGGGCAGGTTGTAGCCTGAAGAGGAAACGATCGCATCAATTAAACCTCACCTCACATCGAGGATCCCACTTGAAAATGCCTTGTGATTATAAAAACATCTCATAGAGAATATACAATTCGGGTATACTTGTTCCTAACGGAAGCCACAGTTGATGTGTTTAAGCAACTCTTGATCCTATTAGGAATAACGATTTCAATAATACATATTTAAATTTTAGAGTGCTAATCTTATAAGATGAAACAGCAAAATTTTTCTGAACATTTTAATATATATTTTAAAATGTGTGCCTAATTTGGAATTAATATCAGTGATTCTAGATATCAAATCTATCCTATTCCTTGCGATTAACTCTGAACTTAAAAATCTATATCGAATTTTATACACACACTCAATATAAGATTTCCTCCGCATTAGTTTAGCCTCATATTTCTCCACATAAAAAGCACTTTTAAAAGGATTGTAAAAGACATCACTTACAAACTAATATCAGAATCCTTGCGATTGAGTACTGCTCCAGTTGGTTCCCTGTGAGCAGTTTCTCCCTTACAATGTCGATTTCTTCAGCAGCGCTAGTCAACAGAGGTATGTTGCTATCGGGGAACAAGCATTCAAACTCCAGCTTTTGCAAGAGGTACTCTGTGAGCGAAAGTAAACATTTATAAATTTCAAAATACAAGCCGCACGTATATCCTAGAAATATTAATACGGTGCGTAGAATTACCGAGCAGCTGCCTTGAAAATAAGTTTCTCTGGGCATGTTTTAGCAGCAGTAGAAGGCAGCGTATGTCAGAACGAAGAAGCAAAGCCACTAGTGAGGTTGGACCGACACCTTCCCAAGCTCCGCTGTTCCTTTGAGCCGCACATACTACAGACAGACGCTCCATGACGTCATCGGTCACTGCAAGTAAATTTATATTATGGTAGCAAGTTGCGTTGAGAAAAAAAACATACATATGAAGTAACCGCCTATATACATCCCACAGTTGGGCAAAGACCTCTACTGTACAGACCGATTGGAGGATTTCGCATATGTCTGAAATATTGATTTTTTTGTAATTTTTTTTTAAAAATATGCAGTTCTCCTCACAATGCTTTCCTTCACTGCTCTGGAATCTGCTTCTAAATTGATCACATTCATATTTATAATAGCATACCCACCATTTCGTCAGCTTTGATCTAATATGGAAATTAAAATGAAAAATTAAACAAATGCTGCATATTTCATTAAACTTCGGGAGTTCAAACTGAACACAGTAAAATTCGTAAAAATCCTTCCATTTGAGAACAGTGGTCGGGATGATATACAGCGTGTCTTTACCATGACGACAATAAATGAACACACATATAGAGGATAACTTAGCGATAACTAGATCGTTAGATATGTATTCATTTATTGTCGCGGTGGTAAAGACACGCTGTATGAACATTACATACAACCATTTACTTTCTCCAAGTGGTAAAATTGGTCTGATAATATAAATATGCAAGGGATGTCACAAACTCTGCACTTTTATCATTAAGTTGTTATCACTCACACACAAGGCCTTTCAAGGGCATCGGATATAATCGAAGTTCTCATATATGTCTTCATTATTTTTATGATATTCATTTTTATTTATCATATTATTTCATATTTTCTTATAATACTGTTTTGCTTTAAATTGCTATAATTATTTGATAGGAAGCATAAGTAAAGTAAGATTTACCTGTTGTAAAAGTTGTAAAAGTTTTTATTTAAGGATTAAGTTAAACAAACAAATTTAGTTTAAAACTATTTAGTAGACAATTATAAAAAAAGTTGGAATGATTATTATACTTACATGTTTGTTCAATATCTTGTGTAAGGGCTTTTAGCACTATATCCGATTTTAAAGCCAAATTTAATAGATACGGTATAACATCACGTTTTTTTTCAGCTTGACTATTTTCCTTAAGACCTTCCTAAAAATGAAAAATGAAAAATGATATAACTTGTACTAATAGACAATTACATACTTATTTAACATAATAAAGTAATAATACTAAAATTGGTTTTTGAAATAAAACTGTAAATTTTAATGGGGGTAAAAATTATCTTGAGGTCATTGCAGGTCATGACAGGTATGTCATAAGAATTTTAAATCAAAGTCCTTCTTACAAAGTTAACATCCATAAATACGATGCTCACCTGAAAAAGCTCCACAAGCGCAGCTCTCACATGAAGTAGTGCTGGAGGATGGTTTGCAAGATGTGCCAATACCGCTCTCGCTGCATCAGCTCCGAGTGCTAAAGCTCTGGGGGCTACCAATGCAGGCTCAGCTCGGCCAACCCATCCCACAGCCCAGGAGCAAGCTCTACAACCTGCAAGTAGTCTGTCTATTTAGGCAAATGCTTAACAAATTTTGTGCAACAACTGCAGCATCAAGTCATTGAAGATGTTATTATACCCAAGCTAAATATTAAATAATACAAAATTGTACATTCTATATTATAACTTACCTAGCATCATATCAATACATTTGGCTCTTTCCTCAGAATTAAGAAGTGTCAAATTTTGTGTTGTTATATCCAACAATACTCTAACAGGATCTGTTGTCTGTAATGTTGCATCTGAAAAAATTTAAGATAAATAAAATAATTAATCATGTGTAAGCTATAACTCGGCAACATGCCTAACAGTTGCCATTCTCATAATAACATTTTAAAGGGTGATCATATTTGTATGAAGTCACACTTAAATAATTTAATGCTATTTTTAAAAATATTACATGATTTTTCCAACATAAAAATTCATTTAAAATCTGTTGAAAACAGAAAGACAAATGATATGATAACAAAGTGAACACAAGGTAGAACAAGCACAGGTTTGTTGTAATGTGGTTTGGAAGAAAAAAACTTTTAACATCTTTTAAATATCCTATAAAACAAAATGTATTAGTACATACTGTCATATACATTGTATAAAGTAGTTTATGAAGTATTATTACAGTTATTTATTTCACAATGGGGATTTCTCCAAGGCTACTTCCAATAAGAGATTCTGTACTCAGGACATACGTGAATACTATATTTTTAGAGACTGTACAAAAAGTACTTAGAAAAAAATCCTTACTTGGTAGATTTGCTTTATCAGTGGCTATGTCCATAATCAAATTTATGCACCATGGTGCTATGAATGGTGCCCATGCTTCACCCAGGCTGCACAACTCTGGTCCAATCATACTTACACTCTCTAGAGACCCATTTACACTGGAATCAGGCTAAAACAAAAGTTAAATTACCTTATATTTATAACTGATGTTGTTATAGTTAACACAACATTAATACAAAATTACCCAAACACCAAAAACGATCATCAGCATCTTCCTGCTTATCCCACTTCTGTCGAGCGAAGTGGATTGGCACAACATGGGAAAAATGTTGTAGGTAGTTTTGGCTAGGTTTTGTTTGTATTACTTAATAAAATATGATTTTTCTATTCGATATTAGATTCTAATTCCAAAACGTTAAAGATTTTAAAGTTGAAGACTGAAATAGATGATGGTAAAGTTTAGGAATGGACACTTGCCTCATAATCAACTTGATTGATTGCCACGTTTACCGCATCATGAAATACCATTGCAAAATACTCAAGAACCGCATCTCGGGCGGCAGGAAAACTTTTAAGCAGCAAAATTCCAATTTTGGTTAACTCCGTTGCATTTTGAAAATTTCTTCTTGAAACACCATATATGAAGTTGTTTAGATCAGCAGACAGAGTTGTAGACTTAATTTGAGTATTCATATTGACAAAATTACTTATATATCGCATGTAATTTCACATTTCTTATAAAAACAACAACCACAGGGACATCTTTTCAATTTGTACAAACGTACATTTTTTTTTTTTTAATTATAGTGGCTCCATCAAGGACAGCTTGATGATTCTGCCAATGTCAAGGTTGAATAAAACAAACTGTTATTGATAAAATTTCCTAAAGTGATGACTTTTGTACGGTATTTAGAACATCATACTTTATTGGTTGAGATAACGTATATTACTATAGACAATTAGACATACTCTGACAGTGACAGTGACTAACTAAAACGTCAATTTATATTTTTATTATTTAACACACAAGATATCTCAAGATGACGGGGGAAAATTGATTTTTTTGCTTTTATTTTTCTAATTTGATTTTTCATTGTTTGTTTGATTTTTAAAGTTTTGAAAATTTGGCCCCAACCTAACTCTTGCGCATATATTGGTTTCTCGAAAACGGCTCTAACGATTTTGATGAAATTTGGTATAGATACAGCCATACAAATCCGACGATCGCAAAATGTTTCGTTGTGACACGAAAATATTCAATACACTTGTATGCTTAATTGTTCGTCATACAAGGGAAACTTTCGTAGAAAATTTACAAACATATCTCAAATTTAGTTTCCAGCTGTGAACATTTATTATATACAGAGATTGTTCTCCTTTTCAAAGAGAATATAACCACTACGTTTAATGCCTTTATAACCACTACGCAGTACTTTCTGTAGTATTACTTTACTCTATGCCACTACGTTTAGCCTTAATGATTGAGATACAACTTCTGACTAAAGTTTATAGAAAATGAATATAAACTGCCATCTTTTGTTCATAACAACAAAATATAAGAATAAAATTTCATCCGAACTTCAATAGATGTCGCTATTTATCGAATTCCTTAAATTTTCAACAAAACCAATACCACACCAAGTTGTTTAGAGTTTAACAAGTTTGATCTCAATTTTAAACAACACAATAAACCTTGTATTACATATCTCAAGTAGGGTATGCGTCAACTGACCACTTTTTTAACTCAAAACGGAACATTGGCTTACAATGAAAATAAACATAACTTTTTAATTTTCTTTACTCCGAAAAGATTAAAAATTAATAGATAAGTACAAAGTAAAAATCATCAGTTCACTATTTTTATTAAAACAACATTGGTATGTTTTTAAATATATTTATATTTCTCAGAGAAACAAATTTGTTTTAATTAATTTGTTGACGATTTTAAATAAGAATAAAATTTGGCACGTTTCTTTTACGCTGTATGTTACCTTTGTTATCAGCATCGCCTTCAGAACTGGAGCTGTTCAATATCACCAGCAGCAATATGGGAAACACTAAACTGTGCGAAACTTTTCGCATCTGACATCCGAAGGAGTCTTAATTTGCTTAATAAATGAGTATTTTATTTGTAGGTGGGTATTAAATGAACACTTGGGTTTCGGCATTACGATGAGAAAAATTTCAAAACAACAAAACTTCACAAAAACATAAAGAAGTCAGAATACACGTGGCTAGCCTATTGAAAGAAACAAATTACAGATTAATAGATAAAATAAGATTGATGAGCAAATTGAAAGAAAAACATGCGGGGAATAATCGATCGCGGTTCCGCGCTACTCATGATCATGTCGGATGAGCGTGGTTTTAAAATTTCACGCGGTTTCGGAAAACGGGACAATTTTGCGTCCCAAAGATTTGTTCGGGGACAAAGGGACAGCCGGCCGAGAAAAGGGACAGTCCCGTTCAAAACGGGACGTATGGTCACTTTAAGTATGCGGGTCATAAGTTCTGTCACATAACGAAGAATGTTGGCCACAAAAATATTTATTTGTTAAGTTTAGTTCGAATTTCGAATGTTTGAAAATAAAAATATGCACTATTTCAAATTTCGTTTATTTTTAAATATGGAGTGGTCGCTTATTAAAGACCGAGTTGTGTGTATCGTGTTGCATATATGCGGTTACGCGCCGAATCAGATTTTCAAACTGAACGAAACGCCGATTCAATTTTTTTAATTGAAAAAATTTAATATAATAAAAGCGTTCGTATATCGCTCCATCAAACGATATAAACGAGACGCGAAAAATTTGTGGTCGCCCACGCACTATTAAGACTCTAGCAATTATAAAAGCTGTGACGGCGCGAATCCAAAGAAATGTCATGCGTATAAAATTGTTGGGCCTTCAGATGGGGTTAGGCCGAACCACGGTGAAAAGGGTGTTGAATGAAATCTAAGGGCTTTGGGCTTATCAAAGATAAACAGGACGTCCTTTAGATGCGTGTTTAATGGACCTGAAACTGAAGAGGTTCCGCGTATTGTTGATGCGGTACGCGGGAAAAAAACAGTGACATCCTCTTTTAGGATGAACATTTTTTACTGAGGAAAAGAGCTACTATGCAAAAATAATACGGCTATTTGTCCACAATAGTGTAGAAGCGAGCACTCTTATTCCACGTGTCCAGCGAGGCCATTTTTCATCGCCACTCATGGTTTGACTACGAGTTTCATATTTGGACTAAACTAAGGTATATTTTAATGAAAAAGGCGTAAAAACGAATAAAACTGTGTATAAAATGCATTCCTCACAAACCTTGTGGAATAGGAGGAAAAGGCTTGTTCAAGGCCCCAGCCTGATTTGGAGTGACTTCCGGTATTTTAGTTTGAAGCAGCCGCCGAAATTATTTTTTGTATGTGAGGTGGCAAGCGAGCTGGCGGTTCTCCTGGTGTTAACGGACCTGCCCATTCGTGGAACAGCCGAAGCTATTGCGTGGCCCTACCACTGTTTGATATGGATGCAACCCGTTCGCGTTGTTACAGACGACTGGCCGCACAGGTCTTGTACTCAAAATCGCGGGGGTCATTTTGAATTAGCTTAGTTAGCATAGGAATCTGTTTGTCAATTCTTTATTGTATATAAACGGTTACTGTATAAACCAGACGTTTGAATTATACTTATAACTGAGCAGCTATAAAATAGAAAGAAAGATTTTATCACACTAATTACGATTACGATGTAAATGTTTGCATTTAGATTGAATTAAAGCTCAGTCCGGGCGATCGCCTTTAATTCAATATATTCGAGCAACCAGAGTTCGATCCCCGGTGCCGGCACCAATGAAATTGTTAATTTTAAGTGCCGAATTATCACTTGCCCAGCGGTGAATGAAAACTTCGTGAGGAAACCTGCATATTTTCGAAGTAAGAACAAAAAAAATATTTCCAAGATATGTGAAGTCCGCCAATCCGCAGTCTCTGCACAGAAGGGGCCTTTGCCCAGCAGTGGGACATGTATAGGCTGATTGTACTTTACTTTACTTTTAATCCGTGCTTAGTCAATTTAGTTTGAGAAAAATATATTACAAAAATATAGGCAACCACCAGTAATTATAAATGCACCAACGTGGATTCTCTGGAAATATCACATAACATTGTCGATTTTTTGACTGACTAATTTGATCTCATTAAATATATTACTACTTGTATTGTAATATTTACGTGTATTTTGTTACATATATAAATTAATAAATCTCCAAAAATGTAACGTCACAATTAGCTCTGAACACGTAATTTAAATAAACAATACATTCCCACTTTCCCAGGATTAAAGAAGTTAAAAAATGTCAAAGACTAACTGAATAACTTTTATACTGCATAAAATAGCCGAATAACAGACAAAGCTAACATGACTCGAACGGTATATGTAGATATGTATGTAACTAGGCTACTGCATACGCCATACGTATAGTTATTGTTATAGAGAAAAGGGGGTTGAAATGCGTCGACTGTGGGGTCATCGTCTAAAAATCAATAATGTCTGCGCACGCGATTCACGCTAGCCCGACTCCCTGCTCGCTGTCGGATGGAGCGATGATTGTCGTATTTACTATACTTATGTACACACAAATCAAGGAATGAAATATCATTGTGTAATTGTTTTAAATCAAAAGTATTGTGATCAAATGACAATCAGATTATTGAAGAGTTACAATGATAAAATTACAAAGATTATTATGAGCGCGAAATATGTATATCCCAGTTACTAGTTTTTTGAACCTTTTGTCGTAAATCTCACTGTCACGCATGTTTTATTTATTACTACTATTTTATTTTTTACTAGCGACCCGCCCCGGCTTCGCACGGGTGCAATGTATTATATCTACATATTTCCTTGAACCTTCCTCTTTAATCACTATCTAGTAAAAAAAAACACATCAAGATCCTTTGCGTAGTTTTAAAGATCTAAGCATACATAGGAACAGACAGCGCGACGTCTTTGTTTTATACTATGTAGTGATCACAGCAAAGAGACGTTTACATTTAAGTGACATTTTACCACAGTCACTCACTTGTTTTGCCTTTCCGGACCTCCTGCACTAACACTTAAACTTTATGGTATGGTATTAAAGTTCAAATTGACTTTTAAGTATTGTTACGAATCTCTTGTATGGGAATATAGAAAAGTGCTGCTTTAGACTTTTTCAGGTATTTTTTTTTAATTTTTCTCTCCGTAAGAACCATCCTCGTACTTCAAGGAATATTATAAAAAAAGGATTAGCGAAATCGGTGCAGCTGTTCTTTAGATTTGCGCTTAGCAACACATTCAGCGATTCATTTTTATATATAGAGATTTAAACTTTTACACATATAATATACATTGTGTATATTAATATACATTTAGACTTAATGCCTAATATTAAGGCGACGCAGGGACAAAAGAGGCAGGTGTAAAAAGTTTTCCCCTCCATCCGGGTTCCCGCCTTGACGTGGCGGGGGGGGCTTAGTACCCGTGGCTTGGTCACCAACG